CCCCCAAAACCCCAAAACCCCAAAACCCCTAATATAAAACAGATCTTGACATATTGTTTTATGAAAATTCCTTTATTCTTAGAGTATTCAAAATATCTTATATAACTGCATAAACTAACCTTTGGGCCAATTATGTCTTGGCTTTAGAAGAGTATTCTCTTGTCAGAAGGGGTTAAATATCCTCAAAGATACTCAAAAATGTTAAAAGGTAAGTCAGTGTGTATTCGAGCATTCTCAGAAAGATTCTATCATATTGGAATATATTTTACCTTTGAATATTTTACCTAGGCATAATAGATAACATCCTCCATATAGGCATTATTGTTGCGATCATTGCTATCTTAAGTTGCTCGGTGATCCTTTCATTCATGAAGTTGTACTCAGGAGTACTAGCTTGAATGGTCTACCTTTGGAGGTATCTTCTGACATCCATCTATTGCATCCCAATATCCTTGATAATCTGGAAGAAGAAAAATTCAGAAACTGATGATAAGAAGTATGCGTTTTGGAGGCCCTGAAAGAGATGTTCCTTTTAAAACTCTGATTTGCACTCGGATTTTACTTCTTGTCATTGTCTTCAGACTATATTATTCCACTTGACCCTAGTGCTCCAGCTGGGGATCCTTCTGCTTTATCATTTCCTTATGATTGATATCCCACCCTAGGTGTTATTCTCAGATGACATACAGCAAGGGTTCTTTGGCTAGGCCCAGCCAAAGTTCCTGCTGCTCTCCATCCTGGTGGTCGCACTCATCTATGGGGATCGGCACAGGATTTAATGTGCAGATGCTGGATTATTTCCCTCCCAGTATTACAGACGGGGTCTATGTGGTAGAGCTCTTTATTTGCTGAGCTAAAGGGGTCCTACTTTGACTGAATAGACCTCCGTCTTTTATGCCCTATATTGGGCTAAAGAGCTGGAAAGTTTTCGGAGGATTATTTTGGGAGGATATTGCAGCAATTGTATTCACGATAGGCAGAGAGCTGAGTATTAGAGGTAATCATTTAGGAAATCCTGCTTCTAAGTCTCAAAATTTGTGTTTTAAAGAGGAAAAGCTAGTCTAACTTTCTGGAGAATGTATTCATAATGATTCAAATTTGAAACAATAAAGTGATATTTCAATCTCGAATCAATCTTCAGGGGTTTTGGGGTTTTGGGGTTTTGGGGTTTTGGGG